CCGGCCCCTGCACGAATGCAGCATAACTAGTCAGTCTATGGTTGGGTGGGTGGGTTTGTCGGTCAGTATTGGAAAAGTGTGGGTGAGGGGTGCAGTAGGTGGGTTGTATCATGCCATGTGAGGAGGAAGATGTTTCGCATGGAAAACTGTGGTGTTTTTCCTACTTGTGGCTTTTAGGCGTCGACTGGTAGTAGTCCATGGTACAATTACCGGTAAACTACTGGCCAAAATGGAATGAGTGGATTGTTTCTATTTAATGATATCCTGAGCGAACTCCCGATTACTACCAAGAGCCAGAGCTTGTGATTTTTTTCTTTTCTTTTCTTTTCCAACAGCTATAGTATTATAGAAAATAGTCCCTCTCGGTCGCTATCCTTATCTCCTCCCAGCAGCAGACGCAGCTAGACTTTGGACAGTATTGCAATCGTGCTCGGGGTTGGGTGGTCGCGAACTGCACTCTCGTTTGTCAAGTGGAGTATGATACATAAGATAGTCCACGTCAAGATTGAAGAGCGCGAATATTGACAACCCCTACGATACATCCCTCCGCTGTCGAGCTGGCTTCGGCTCCCGGGCGAGGTTGACGCCCTCCCTCTCGGTGGCACTCATGAAGAAGGGTCTCAGAGCTTAGATTAGTGGGACCCAGTGGCTGGGTAGCTAGCTGGATATTGCTGCCCAGTTCCCCGAAAAAGAAAAAAAAAAGGCCGGACAAATGGTGCTGTCGAATTTTAGTTATTCCCATGACTAATAATGGTGGGGCTCCTCCGTCTGTGAAAGAGCAAATTGGTATCTGAATTGGGCAACTTGGGGTGGGATATAATAAAACCTCGTCCTGGATGAGGGGCTGATTGTCCTTCACTTTCTGTTAAAAATTCCTGAATGCTTGGAATGCTTGGTTTTTCTCGGTACCGCGGGGTTTTTCGATGGGGGGTGGTTCGGACTGGTCCGTGAACGGAGAGGGTTTCACGCTGGTTATCGTCTTGGTGGAGTTTGGGCTATTGCTTTTTGCTCCTTCTTGCTTGTGCAATTGTGCAAGGTTTAGGGGGTTAAGAGTACGGGAGGCGCCGGATATGTCAAGATCTTCATATTTTGTTCAAAATATATCGTAGGAACATCATCTGAAAATTGGAGATTTTTCTAAGGAGCCATATTCAGTTATAGCTTGGAAGGGCCTAGCCCCCGGGCCATTTGGGATTTCCGCGAATAGTGGAAACCGGTAGCTTATTTGTTGTATGGGTTAATAGGAAATTGAGATGCTCGCTTCATTGGTAGTGAGGACTTGACATGTGCCGTAATAACACGAGGGTCAAAACAGCTTACGGATTGTCTTCAAGAGATGGCTGTTCGCCCGACAACAGCACAAAGGCGAGCTCCGGAGTCCCGAGATCAAAAAGACTCCTCTACTCCTGCCCGGGCTTGCAAAAAAAAGGCTTACCGGTATCCCAAGGCTGGGGAGTTGGGTGTCCTGGGCTGCGACTAGCACCTTTACAAGTGAGTTTTGCATAAAACATCACTCGGTATTTGCGTGGTCGAGAAGCATGACGACTGACTTGTGTTAGTTTGCTGAAACCGGAGCATCCGGATATGCTCTTGACAGGAGATACTCTGCTACCTGCGACAGCGTAAGAGTCAAGGAAGGTAGGGGGTACCAAGCGGTTACAGCAGTGGGACGCTAGATGCCCGATGAGGTGGGGTGAGCGTGGTCTGGGACTTCGCTTTCTTTCTTTCTCTTTTCCTTTCTTTCTAGGAGTTAAGAAAAGTACGACAAAGTGACTAACAGCAATTTCCCAGAGGAACGCACTGGATTATTTACGCGGGGGATATCGGTACTGTACTTGGAGCCTAGCCTTGCAGCGCGAACCGTCAGACCCCGTCATGGTAGAGAGTAGAGATCTTGATCCAGGAACCAAGTATATGCCAGTGCATTAAGGTGCCGGGCCCTAGCTGCAAGGGGAAATAGCTACCCACTGGGTGAATCTCTACAATGCGCTATGCGTGCCGCTACCCTCAGCGGCACTGTAGATACTCAACTACATACGCGCCGGGGATCTCATGTTGACCAGTGAATGGCCGTGAAAATCCCATTCCCCGGAACGGCATGAGGCACAGCATGGGCACCACGCTATGCATGGAATTCGACGCAAAATCTTGGGTATCATAGCAGCAAAGTATATACATCAAAACCCCACCAAGTAGTCCGAGGGCCCCTAACATGGCCGAGATAACACTACTCGGCCCGCACCCATGCGCCATCGAATCCGCTTTCGAGCCGAAATAAACTTACCGCGTCTTCCCGCAAGTTTGTGTTGTACAGTACGCACTATTGCAAAACACCACACCTACCCTCCCCTGTATGCACGATATAGCTTACCATCTTTACACCAATAAGCCATTATTACAGTTTCCTCCTTATTGGCTTCCAACCGATCAAGTAGAGACCCTATTAGAGCGCATTACCCTCCCCACCCCCCGCGCAAACGGCGGCTGCTCGTGAGGGTGAAGGAAAAAGCAAAGAAAGGAGCGAAATTCGCAACCAGCCCGTGGCGCGGGTCACGGACCAGCAAGCATTTTGCGACATAACTTCCGGCCAACCAGCCATCACTTTACTCGAATACAGGTATACGATATCATAACGCGTTAAAAAGCCCCCGATACGCCACCGAATTTGCAAGGGTCACATATCGCTTTTTGCGCGCATGAAGTGGGGTCGGATGGGCAATCCTCACCGAAGTCATCGGCAGTCACTCGGGAGATTGGCCTGAGAGGCGCTGGGCCGTCGGGCAAATGCGGCGGTGGGCGAAACGGGAGTCAGCATGGGGGTTTTGGGACAATGATTTGTTCAGCCATCCGGCCCATAGCCTTGCGCGGGGTGATTGAGGGAGTCTACCTGTGAGCGGAGATCTTGGAGAGAGGGGATTGGGGTTCATTTGGTTCATTCTTGTTGTGTGGTGAGGCGTCAGATTGTGCGGATTTGGAGGCTACTGCTCGCCTACTGGGATGGTGGATCTCGCGGGGAAGATGTGAAAATACTTTGGAGCCGGCCTTATCCACTCCAAACAGTGACCCGCTCCGGTTGAAATATGAGGGAACGGGATTCTTCAGAGGAGAATGCTTTATGCGACAGTTTTCTAGAGTTTACCCGAGCAAGCTGTCTCCTTCTAACACTTTTGGGAAAGGATGCCGGTGTTAATAGAAGTGGGTCCGTCAAATCGTTTCCTTTAGTGTGCACCTTCTCCTAGCACTCGTACGGGCAATGGGTAT